GTCAGTTGGCTTATTAATTTAACCACTGATATACGTGACAACTTTTCTATGTTAACCAGAATATTGTGTTGCTCTAATATCCAAAAACCCAAAATAGAAATTAGCAAATAGAAACAGGAATCATCTCCCTCTCTGTGCCCTGAACATACTTTCAAGCCCTGCCAGGCTTTCTTCAGGGCATCAAATAATGAAAAAGTGCAGGGTGAAGAAAAGTCCTGTTGTGCTCATGCTGACAAATATCCAAGCAAGTATCTACATGCAAGAGGTTTTCTGCAACCCACCTCACATGGCTGATGACCGCAGGTTAGCAATGGTCGCTTTTTGTTGCCTACAAACTAAAATTATCTGCAATTACAATCAATCTGTGTTTTCTGTTTCCAAAGAAGCATTGTACAACCACAAACCTGCAATATTTAAATGTATCATTTTACACTAAAATCTTTACATTTGCTTTGAAACTGCACTTTTGTATTTGTGATTAAGTGCATTCTCTTGTATGTTTTCGTACAGTGGTGGTTACAAACACTCCCATCCTTACATTATGGTTGTTTGTTTTACATAATTTCACAATAAACGCACCAAATTATTGCTAATAGGAACTGCGTGCACTTTGGCCACAATATCCACGTAATAACATTGTGATGGCATTGGTTTACAGTTTGTCCTGTGGTTTGCAGGTGTTGCTTTAACTGCTGATGTGAAAAAACCCCACAGAAACCTAAATCCTAGGTTATTAAGTGGGGTTATTAAGCACACTTTTTATATGAAATGGTATCTGGGTCACCACTTCACTGTACTAAAACACAACCCCATAAATAAATGTGACCACCAGGGGGCGAATTTCCCTTTTTATACCACCAACATTTGGGTACTTCAAATATTAAAGCACAGTCAGATAATATTGTTGCAAGCCTTAAAAAAAGATAGAAAGTCTTTTCTTTCCTCCAAAACGTTCACAGCTGTCCTGTTTCCAGCGTCAGCCCATTTCAGGGAATGAAAACAAAGGAAAAGAATTATTTTAAGTCTTTCTATGCAGCCATTTAATTTCTTACAGCTTGCAAGTGGTGCACTTTAAAGCGGTTGCTGGAACATCTAAAGAGAAGATATCTAACTAAAGAAAATTTTATGCTGACACCAACCACGGACACATTGACTGAAAATCTGGTGAATTCTTCCAGAGTCATTTTAGTTTCACTTTCCAGGGTTTGTCTGCTCAATTCTAGTTTGCTGTGATTTTTACTTTTTAATAGTTTTACTTCCTTTTATGTGTTTCATTTGTCAGAGGATAATTTAAGTCCACAATGGGTTTTACAATACAAATACATGACTCGCAGTCACATACACATCCCAGTTTCCATAAACAGATATTTTTTCTCTGGCTAGTTGTGCTGAAGTATAAAACAAAACAAAAAAATCATCCATCATTTTTATAAGCACTTATTCAGAATTTCGGGCCCACTGGAGCCTATCGGTGCTGTCACAGGCACTAACTTTTTAAAAATCTCTTTGTGTATAACCTCTGAATCTCTGTAGTGGCTTTAACTCTGTGACATCAGCTGCGGCACCCACACAAGGTTACAAAAGTCAAGAGGTGCACCACTGGCCAAAATGAAACCAAAGCGTGGCTTGACCCAGCAAATGCATGTCACTTTTGGAGTGTTGCACCCTTCGCAAGGCCAAGAACGGTGGGTGTAATGGCACCATAACACTACATTAAAAGACAGAAATCAATGTTCTTCACCCTCATCATTTTTAGTAAGGAAATCATCAGTTTAGAACAAGTGATGTTAACCAAGAATAAATGACACATGAAGGGTGTTGTAAAGTTGTCTCTGCGCTACAAAGTAACAACTTATTCAACCAAATGGAAGCACTTTCTGTGTGTAGTTTGTATGTTCTCCCTGTGTTTGCGTAGGTTCTCTCCGGGTACTCCGGCTTCCTCCCACAGTCCAAAGACATGCAGTTAGTGGGGTTAAGTTAATTGGTCATTCTAAATTGCCTATAGGTGTGAATGTGAGTGCAAATGGTTGTTTGTCTCTATGTGTTAGTCCTGCGACAGACTGGCGACCTGTCCAGGATGTACCCTGTGGTAGCTGGGATTTGCCTCCCGCAACCCTGAAAAGGATCACCAGGAGAAAATGGATAGATGGATAGAAACACAACACAAACTGCAGTACAGTGGTCCCTCACTGTAATGCAGTTCACCTTTCGTGGCCTCGCTGTTTCGCTAATTTCTTTGCTTTTTTTTTTCCCCATAATGTATTGTGATCTGCGTCCTGATTGACTGACAATGGTCTACAGCCGATCTCATGCCGTATCTCCTGTGCATTACAGAATGCGTTCAGCTTGTCAAATTTACATAAATCTTTGATCGCTAGCAGTGTGACTCTGAAGTCCTGTACTGTATGTCTGTAAGTTTTCTCCCCAACAAACGCAACAATGTCAATGAAACATTTTGCATTTTTTCAGTTAATTCCCCCATATTCTGGTTTTTAAGATTCATTTCAGTTAACTAACTATGTACTTTAATTATTGAACTACACAGTTGTATGATTAACTTAAGCACGCACACACTGCAATTTGAAACACACATGGTGAAAGCTAAAAATGGAATAGTTCTGTACAAGCTAACCATGCCTAAACACAGTACATACCTACACACACAGCATGCAGAAGTGCCAAGAACAGAAACAGGTCTTTGCTTGCCCCTCACTACCTCTGTCTCTTTCCCAAGCAGCTGCATGCAGAGGTCTGAACCTGCCTGCTGAGAAGCAGCATGGTTCTAAAGATCCTAGTTTTAACTAGTTTGCTTCACCGGGAAGAAAAAAACAAAACATAAAATCATGTGTTGATCTTGCCCTCCTCTTGCACTGTGACTCACATCCCCTCTTACGGTCTAACCTGCACATCACAAGAGGAAAGGGATAGAAAGGAAAAGCAAATGCATCCCATGTCAGTAACCCTTTACAAAATTCGATCCATTTACCAGCACACAATTTCATTCTGTTTGCATGACCTTCGATGTCCTGTTCCCCACTGTGTTAAGCAAGCTTTAGAGTCAGTGGAAAGCAATCCTGCCAAGGCAATCACAACGCTAAAGACACATTCGGTTAACCTATCAGTTAGCTAGATGCATGATTCACATCCACTAATTAAAAATCATATTAAAAATTAAATTAAAAAAAGATGCATCTCTGATAATAATGAGTATCTTTTTTCTGCAGCCCTTCCATTACTTTGAAAAATTGTCTTCTACATTGATAATATCTGTTTACCTCTCTTTCCACTGATGCCTCACATAGGGGTGCACCCAGGAATCAGCCAGTATCAATACTGCAAAAGTTCACCACTAAAATGACATTTACAGATGCCAGTGATTAATAACTTTGCACTGGTGTATAAATGTTAAAAGAACGTGTGCAGAGCTGAAAGGTTTCAAAAACATTTATACCTCTGTAGATTTTGTAAACACAGGAAACATAACACAAAAAAAACCCATCAGAATCGACACTCAGCCATATTCTAAACACTGATATTACCCATGAATTTCACAATCGGTGCATGTCTGGTCTTTAGACAGAAATGCTTAATGCAGTAATAATCTACTTCCTGTTTGATCTGAACCCCTCACTGCAGAAAATTTAAGACCAATTAAAAAAGTTTACAGGGGCAAATTAAAAATCCTACTATCATACATTTCTTTTTTGATCTAGAACAGAGTGCAAGCCTTCCTGCACCTTTTTATTTTTTAGGTTTAACTATTCTGGGCAACACATTTAGACAAAGACAGTTTTACTAGTCAAACTGGAAAATAATAAGCTAGCAATGACAGAAACATGAGGCAAAGTAATACATGACATGACAGTGTTTCATAAGCAATGTTTAAAACTATGGAAGTCTGCTCTGATCGAATATGTGGACAAAAAACAAGAGACTCAAACCAGCAGAAAAACAGAAACAAAATCAGACGGCTTTAAATGGACATAAACGATACACTTCCCGCCAACCACAAAGACGACACACACCCAGGTAAGACTTCTCTCTCACACGTGGTGAAGCTCTGCACCAACAGTATGCCAGTCTTACCCAGAGGCAAACATGGCTTCCAAAGGTGTGGAGAAACAATGCAACTATTCTGATATTCCATTAATCATTGAAGTATATTTTTAAACCAAACTACCAAACATTCCTGGACTGATCACTCATGTTAAGATTTGACATGTTGACAATGAGCAGTCACTCAAAGTTTATCTCGTGTGTCTGACAGTGTAAAGTCAGAAAAACCCTCAGCATACTGCACACATTTGCTAAAAATATTTTAAAGACTGTGTTGAAGGTTTAAAGGCATTTCTGTGCCCAAGAAGCTCAAAAAACCTTTATGACATTACATTAGAACATTGCTTCCATCTGTGGAGGTCATTATTATAATAAACACACATTTAATAAACTAAGTTACATCTTGTAAAGGGTCAAGTGTAAACTCATCTCCTCAATCTATTAGTAAACAGTTAATTTGGTAATGTTTACTAATAGATTTCCATCAAATACAAGCTACATGTCATCGTTTTTCTTAAAAATGAGCTTTAAAAATATACTGGTTTTTTATGCACAAAGTGTGTAAAATTTAAAAAGAACATAAATATAGCAGCTGGACAGCAATTTATTTTATCTTCATTGATTAATTAGTCAGATCATAATCGATTTTTAGCTTTGGCTAATATGTACAGTGGTTGCTCCAGTAAGTGCATTTTCACTGTGGGATTTATTCTGCTGAAAAAATGTTTGTCACAGACAGAGTCAAAAATAACAATGAATTTTTTTGTGCTTGATTTCAGGCCAATGCCCACACAAGATATTCAAAAAAACAAATAAAAAAAAGCTTCAAAATGCACACATGCACACTTCAACAATCAAGAATTTCCCCTACTGAGCAAATTTATTATACTTTAGGAAATCCATTTGCTGTCAACGTAATAAGTGACAAAAACATTTGATCTTACCGTGCACAGCAAAAACATTACAGGGCTGGTTCCCATGGCGTGATGATTCCTTCTTCGAGCCCTTGATGAAGGCCGGCAAACTGGGTCTCCTCTGGTCCCCTACAAGCTTCCCCGGCTGCTGCCCCATAAGGGCAGGGTGCCAGGCCGCAGCCGGGACTCTCCAAGCTGGACTCAGTTGCCCACCAGGAAAAGAGGAGATTGGGAAAAGAAAAGAATCCGTTCCCCTGGCTCGAGCACTCCCCTCCCAGAATTTAGGTGATGGAGGTCACCAACACAAATCAGTGATGCTCCAGTAGGTCTCTGTTTATCATGCATTAATGGAGTGTGAGTGCTTTACAGGACATTTCACAACGATCTAGAGACAAATAAAACAAGATTCAGTGATGAGTTCATTTAACACAAAGAAATATGACCCTAAAGTCAAAATAAAACAAGAACTAATTTGACTGGTAGTTTATGTGCCAAATAACAAACCACAAGCTAATCTTAACTGCTCATTTAGTTTTATTGTGTTCCACTTTAATTGTGATGTCAGGTGTTTCCTTTTCTATACAAATTAGTTTTCCCCTGTTGCCTATAACCTAAACGTCAGCTAAATTTTCTAATTTTAATGCCCGTCTATTCAATTCAGTTTTTATCTATATAGCGCCAAACACAATATCAGTTGCCTCAAGGCTCTTTAAATAAAAAAGATAGCTATTAAAACCCCTAATCTAGGTTAAGATACACTCATATTTATTCCTGCTATCTACCATTTACATTTTATTCCGCACAGTTGGTGTGGAGCACCCACAATTTAGTTGTACAATGACAATAAAGGGCTATTCTATTTTATTCTATTATAGATATGCAAAAAAAAACTGCCAAGTGTTAGATTTAAAAACTAGTCACGGAGAGAAAAAGCAAGAAAAGTAGCAAGTATTGATAGCCATAACAATACTGCCCTTATTTTATTGGAACACCAAAGTTTAAAAAAAAAATAATGAAAAAAAAGATCATTTAATCATCAGTAACAGGCACTGAAGTAAATGTGCCAGATAAAGCAAACTTTTGCTCTAGTTACGAACGCCGTGGGGAGTAAAAACAAGTGTTTACAGAAACTTACACGGTCACAGAAACATATATATGATTTGTTAGCTGGCGACCTTAAGCTAATGTTGGAGATAGCCATGAAAGCTAACCAACTGCTGGTGGTATGCAGCGCCAGACCCTTAAATGCACACCAAGCAGGCAACAGTTGGCTGTCGCTGGCTCGCTGGTAGGGAAACCGCCGACAAGTGCACTTAAACGTCTCACAAAAACATGATTTGACCGCCACCCTTTCAACACTTTGCAGCTGGTCTTTCCAAAGCCACAGTTGGTTTCAAACTTCCGTGTCCACTTTTCTCGTCTTGCGGAGTTTCTTCCCCTGCGGTACCCGGACTAAAAGGCACTTCAATCAAGGCAAATCGAGGCAACTCAGCCGGGCAGAGAGCGACGACTCTTTTTACAAGTCCTTTCCTCTGTTCACAGTCGCCGAGCTCTTCGTTACCAAACCCCTGGCTCTCGTACTTATTCATAGCTTTCACGTGAAAATCGCAGCAGTAAACTTTGGCCGAGTAGTAGTTCTGTAGCTGGGGCCGCCATACTTCCATACGCAAGGTGGTTTACTGGGTGGGTGGGGCGACGTACGACGTCACGTGCGTGCGTGGACTAGCACAGGAGGACTAGAGCAAAGGTTTGTTGTGCTGGGAGAGCAACAACACTGCAGCCACGCTGAGGCAGAGAGAGTACGCTCACACAGGGGAGAAAAGCTGAAGGTACACAGGTTAAAGGTTCATCCACCCACACATATAATGGTGGATTTGATCAAAGCCATAAAGAACTCACTGCTCAAGAATATGATCTAGCCCAGGCCTAATTGTCTTCAGGATATATGTATGGATATATGATTTTTGGCATATCAAACTATGAAAACACTCGATTCTGTGCTTACAGATAAATTACACAAATTTGGTTACTTTACTCAGTTTTAAAGCATCTAACTCAACATTTATCCCACTTTGAGATACTTATTAGAATCAGGGGTGGCATGTTATCAGGATCTCTGTAGGGAGTGAACCTATGATTGTATATAAATATATATTTTACACGATCTAAAGGAATTTACCTAATTTAAATCTCTAACATATATATTGTTGTGTTCTGGTGTGTTGTAATTATCCACTTTAAGGGAACTTAAAGACACTAAAAGCAGAGAAAAGAAAACTTTCTTCACAGGGTTAGCAGGGATTCTTGCAACCGCAAGAAAGATATTATACAAATCTAACCTACATGAGAGGTGTCAAGGGAAAGCATTTATTGTCCAGGAGGAAAATTAGAATAAAACTACAGTGGGAGTGAACATATCTGATGAGGAATGGTCACAAACCTGGAAAATACAGCAGTCAACAACATCATCACGTGCCTGGAGACTGCACTGCTGGAAAATGTAATTAGATTTTTTATAACACCCAAAATTAAGAACAAACATACCTCATTACCACAAACTAGAAACAAAGAGATCCAACATGTTTGTTTTTTTTTGTTATCCTACTTGTTGTATTTATCTTTTTGTTGTTGTTGTTTTGTTGTATAGTGTTTAAAGAAAAACAATAAAAAGAAAGTTAAAAAAAAACAAAAAAAAAACTACAGTTTACAGTACCAGTGAAGTGGCAAATACCAAAGCCATACTCATACTGTGAATCATGGTGGTGGAAACATTATGGTTTGGGTTTGCTTTAGCTTTTCCACTGTCTCAGTGACTGGGCACTTTGGGCAGTTACTGAGTCAACTATGACTTCTGAATTTTATCATAGAGTTCCAGCTGCTCAAACATTTTTACAAGCTAGTCACCCCCTAGCACATTAGCAAATCCACCAAAGGATGTGTAAAACAGAAGAAAAGGAGGTTATGGAGCAATCTATTCAAGAAAAGTCCCATTTCACCATTATTGAGCCGTTTAAAGTGGATGGATTATGCAAGAATACCCTCAAACCTAAAATAATAACTAAAAACTACCAATTTCCAGACACCATTAAAACCACTAAAATGGTGATTATACGTAACCTTTACTGCTGACGTGAGAAGTTTTGTTCTAATCAGCTTAACCAATATATCAGATTAATGTCTAATAAATGAACATTAACATGACTGAAAGAGCTCCACAACTCTGAAACTTTCCTATTGCCAACATGTGTTTGGCACACCACAAACAGAACAACCAGCTGATCCAACAAAAGTTTTAAAGAGTGTAAATAAATAATGTGTAACTTGTTGCAACGATACAAAAATATCATTTTAAACAGCACCGTCACATAATCTTAGTAAAGGGTCATTAGTAACTACACGGAAAATTTCAAGAAATCTTTTTCATGTATCTGAAAGAAGACAAAAAAGTATTGGCTACTATGTTAGATTTTTAAAATTGCCCGATATTGATATTTAAATTAAAAAAAAAAAAAAAATCCTGTAAGAACTAGAGCCCAAACAATAAAGATTCCCAGATACGTTTTTTCCTTGTTCACAGACAGACCACACTGAGATGCAGTGAAAATTTATAGAAATCACAAAATTTATTGTATACAGTATATATCTCACATGAAAAAAAAAAATATTGACTATTATTTTGTAAAACTTTAGAATAGCTGGAATGCTGCACACATTGAACGAGTTACACTTCACTTGCGTTTGCTATTAAAAACAACCCAACAATAATACTGGTTTCCTTTAATAAAACACGTTGGACTTTGACAATTTAATTATATCTCTAAGAAAATAAAGCTAATTCAGCTTTCAGATCAGTGGTCGGGTCCACAGCTGGCCTGATGTGATTTTGACTTGTGACAAGGCTTTGGGCTCTTTAACCCTCCTGTTCCAAGAGCTTCTGTTGTGTCAACATTACAATCTCCTCCATCACCTCTGGTTTTAAGATGTCCTTCACCTACAGAGACAACATAAATCAAAAGCATAACCACATACACCCATGGATGTACATGTTTTCAGTCTGTGTTTATGGTAACAGAAAGTGTTTTTATCGAGTTGCAGCTTGAGCGCGAGTGCACAGTAACACTTTATATGGGTTGGCTCGATTGTAAATATAATACAGAAGAAAAATGTGCCACATAGTGGATATGCTGATATCATTGCAAGAGTAGTGTTTGCGAGACGCATGGGCGATTAAGTCATTTGTTCCCCACCCCAAAGAGCAATGAAATCAACCGTGACTGTTCCACACTGCAAAAACAGCCGAGTCAAAGTTGAGAACTGCACAGTATTTTTTCCACTAGTGGTGCCCAGGAGCTGGAGAATTACAGTATGACCACTAGGTGGCACAATATGACACAGAAAAGAGTTGGGGGTTTTCTGGTGTTGCAATAGTTTTGTAATCATATTGTTTACAAACATGAAACAACAGGTGTCATTATAACAAAAAATGACTGTAAATTGTAGTAATGTCAATAATTTAGTTTCAAAGGCTGGTTTTTACTGGAATGATTCTTACCTGGTGCTGAAGTGATGATTCGTAGCAGTAGAGAACACTGGTGTCGTACAGGAGGACTTTGTGCGCAGCCAAAGCCAGCAGGCAGTTTCTCAACCGTGAAATGACCTCTCGATCCGACAGGCTGACAGGCTGAGGAACCAGAGATGAGAGATGCACAAACAAATAAGCTCTGTGTGTACGGTGTAAACCACAAGCATCCGGAGCATCATTACATACTCTTGCAAGTCTTCAACTTGCAAACATTTTTTTAAACGTCTTTCTAATGCTCCTTCAGACTGAAGCTGCCTTCAGCCCGTGTTGCTGAAGGTGCTTTTTTACCAAGCCGAGTGTGGCACACGAAGGTGATTGACTCAAACAGTCAAGGATGCCCCAACTTGATGGAATAGTTGGTTGCTCTGGCCTTGCCTTTAGGTTGAATGATGAAAGTTTGTGCATTTGGTTGAAGCTAAGCACACAAAACACTACTTGTGTGAGCAGTAAAAATCATTAATGGATGGCAGCGTTCCCGTTCCATTGACAGCCATGCATGCCCGAGCCTCTTTCCAAGTTTTAGTTCATCAGTCCATAAAAATTTGTTCCAGAACTCTCACTGATTTTGCAAACTACAACCAGGCCTTTCCATTTAGAAAAAAATAAAACTGTTCCTTGTGCTCAATGCTTAGGTTCTCTACATGTTTTCTCTACTTAGTTTTTCAGTGCACACCTTTATTTTAAATTACATTTTTAAATTTACTACCTTTTGATATATAATATACAATATATTAACTATATTTTGATACATTGTTGCTTTTCTGTCTCTTGTTACTTTCTTTATAAGCATGGCTGTGTGTTGAATCCTCCTACTGATAGACAAGAACAGCTCAATACTCTCAGTGAACTTTTAGCAGCCAAGCTGAAAACTACTATTGCGATTTGTGCGCAGAGAAAACGGACACATAGTTCTTTCAATCTTGATGTAAATGTACTTAAATCAATACTCAAACATTAAATTAGTATCCATTACTTTTCCAAACTTGGGAAAGCAGAAGGAAAAATGTGGGCAACCACCAGTGCTACCCCTCAGCTTCTGAGTAGACAAACCTTTCAGAGAACTTGACCTTTGACCTTGAGGTCAATTCCACTGAGATTTGAAGTCAACCAACATTTTTAGTAAATGCACCGATTGTATCAATTTGAAATTCCTACATTTCCTAAAACAACAAGAAATTGTTTTCCAAATTCATATGCCCATTGATCAGTAATAAAAATATGGAATACAGTTTTTTGTGGTGTCCTACCTCAAGGCTGGTGTAGAAACCCCCAGCTTCCTCCTCTTGTTGGCCCGGTGTGGGATACAACCACACAAAGCCATTATTCCCCAGGATAATGGATGCGCCACACGGCAGGTTGTGGAAATGCGTTTTCTGCCTCTTGATCAGAGAAGGGGAAAGCTGGACCAGTACTCCTTGACCCAACTGATAGTCAGAGGAAGTAGAGACAGGGTGTTAGTTTAAATGAAAATAAAAATAACGATCGTTACTCTTATTATTGAACTAACACAGTTACTCCAGTTTTAGCTTGACTTCACTGGCATCCTGTCAGTTTTAGGGTTAATTTGAATATTTTATTGATTGTTTTTAGGATACTAAATAGGTTGGCCTCCCCCCCCCCCATATTTGTCTGGTCTTATTAATGTCCACACTTCTTTCGGAGCTCTGAGGTCTGCTAATCAAAAAAAATAAAATAAAAAATAGGGGTCATTGAGCTTTTCAGTTGTTGCCCTGAGTCTCTTGAATGTGTTTCTATTTCATAATAGATCTGCCATAATAGATCTTTTTACTTTTCTTTGCTCAGTTTCTACTTTCCGGCCTTTAAAAAAACCCTGACATCTTACTTGTGAAGTACTTTGATCAACTCTGGTCATTTGTAATGTGCTATATAAATAAACTTGCCCTTTACCTTTTCACATATCTTTGTGTACACTGGAATAACTTACTTTTCCATACTTTAAACTACGGGTGTGAAGTGAAAGAGCTCCATCCGAGAAGACAGACTGCACCTCTGCCTGAAACCACAAGAAAGGTTCAACACAGATTATGTAACCGGGAATAAAATCACTGGAAAGCCAGTGAGAAATTATAATAGAGAAGTCTGACTTACACTGATGAGATCTCCCTCCTGAAGATATTCTCTCATGGTCAGCTCATCTTCTGCTGATCTTCTCCTCTAAGTAAGTAAGACAGAAAGAAAGAAAGACAGAAAGAAAGACAGAAAGACAGAAAGAAAGAAAGACAGAAAGACAGAAAGAAAGAAAGACAGAAAGACAGAAAGAAAGAAAGAAAGACAGAAAGACAGAAAGAAAGAAAGAAAGACAGAAAGACAGAAAGAAAGAAAGAAAGAAAGAAAGAAAGAAAGAAAGAAAGATGATCAAATATTAATTTTAATACGTCAGCCAAAGCTGTCTTCTCCCAGTGAATCACACTTTCTACCATCTCACCAACTCTCCTCCTGGCAGGTTTACAGAAGACAACAAGAGGACAGAGTCCAGTCGGGAGTTTGTCTCCACCTTCCATCTTTTCTGCTGCACCTATACATTTTAAAGAAGAAGAAGAAAATTTAAAAAAAACCCCAAAATGAACCAAAATGAAAACAAGTTTCTGCAATCACTGTCTTTTCTTATAACTAAAGTGGTTGTATATGAGAACAAATACTAGGCATTACCTCTGTAATTCTGCCAACCACAACATCTCCAACCTCACCATTAAACCTGCAATCAAAGCACACTTTACAATGTAAGAATGAGTATATAGATGACAGGCCTATCTAAGTCTTTGACCGTTTAAGAGTTCAATCACTCACCTGGTCTTAAGTGGCCTGACACAGATGAGTTTGTCCACCCTCTGCACCTCTCCTGCGACTGAAGCTGTCAACTTGTCGTCATCAACGTAGGTGCCATGACCCCTGCGGACAGACGGTATCAAACATTAGTTCTGAAGAGAACAGCCAAAAAAGAAAAAGAAACAAGGGTAAAGTGCAGCATTCAGAGGTCACACAACACAATGCGGCAGTTTATCCGATTAGAGTCCTTATCCTTACTGTGTATCAGTGTAGAAGGTTGCAAATGAGACCGGCTGACTTTATGCTCACCTGCTAATTCAGTATGGCACTGGCTGTCATCTGGAGCTTTTATTTATTTACCTTTACAAGCCAGATACCTGAACCAGACCCGAACAGCAGCACACTCCTGTGTTTGGTTGATTTCCCATAATAACTCAAATAAAACCAACACCTACCTCATGAACCCAGTGTCTGAAGTAATAACATCCCCCGGTACGACCAGATCTTTTCGGTCAAAAGCAGACGCTGATAGCGACACGGTTTTTCTAATAGTCGGTAATCTCATATCTGCAGCCATGCTTCTTCCTTTGCTTCTTCTTCTCTTCACTTTTTTGGCGGTTTGCGGAACTGATAAGAGTTTTACCGCCACCTACTGACGCGTTAGTTGTATTTATTTACTTTTAAAAAGCACCTAGTCAAATAAAATGTAAATAAATAAATAAATAAAGTTTAAAATTTTTTTAATACATGTCTTATATCTGTGGCGTTAGTGATATATATATATATAAACAGTAAATGTTTATGGGGAGGAAAACTCACAAACACTGCTTCTTTTCCTTCTTTAGCCGCTGACAACATCTAGCTGCTTCCCTGCATCTCTCTAGCATCCTCCTCTGTCACAACAACTGCACATCCTCCTTTACTACATGAATGAATCTTCTCTGTGGTCTTCCTGTTTTCCTCCTGCCTGGCAGCTCCATCCTTTGTCCCGTATATCTGCTATCCTTCGCTCCAAACCATCTCAGCCTTGCCTCTCTTGACTTATTTTTCAAACCACTCAGCCTGAGCTATTTCTCTGATATACTCATTTCTAATCCTGGTGGACTCCCAGTGGTAATCTCATTATCTTCAGCTCTGCCACCTCCAGATCAGTCTCCCGTCTTTATGTTGACACTGTGATCTCCAAACCATACAACACAGCAGGTCATATATCCATCTTGTAAACCTACCCTTTCTCTGGCTCCACAAAGACCCAGTGCAACTCCTCCTGACCTTCTCTCTACTTGTCCATCAACACTCACTGAGTGCTTCAGCATAGTCCTGTTCCACAAACTTTATTTTATTTTATTATTATGGGAAGAATGATACACTAACATGATTAAAATTCCATGTTATTTCAATAATACTTTTATTCTGCTAAATAGCGCGCCATTTCATGGATGGATTTATGAGCTGGATATAAGAGATAAAACTGATGCACAGGCTCTAAATAATTAGGTTAAAAGCTTGTGTTGATATATGTTGATTTAAAAAGAACATAGCAAATCTAATGTGGATTATGGTTGCAGGATTCAGTGCAATGGTTGCAAATAATAATAATGAAAAGAAGAATTAAAAGTAGAAGAAAAAGAATGTATTACAATTAAAAGATGTCAGATAGACTGCAGTTAAGTCACACCCCCTATGAAATTGTTTTTCCCAGGCATTTCCATTTTTACCACCAGGTGGCAGCATCGAGCCAAGCTGCCGACACCGCCACCTGGATTCGCACAACGAGCGGTGACGTCAGATGTCAACAGGACGCAAACTTCCACTATTGCAGCCAATCAGCTTTTGGTCAGACAGACTCTTGGAAAGATGGCGACGGTGAGGCACAGAGGAGTGAAAACTGGACGCTTTGCTGTTACTAAACACCGCAGATCCACACTTCGCTAGAACCCACACGGCACCGGGTGTGGAAGTTAATCGGTCCGCTCTTGAGTCTGAACCCGCCGTTTGGGGCCGTATGGTGACGCTGCAGGTTTGCGCGCTGTTGTTTTCGGTTACACTTGGACTTCTCATTAGCTTTAAGTTGAAAAGCCAGCGCTAGCCCGGGCTAGCTGTGTAGCCTCACTCGGCTGTTTGGAAGCTGTATGGTACCCTTAACCGGTGTCAACACTGGCTTGTATATACCTTATAATTTTTTTTGTATTTCCGGAGCCGCTCATGAGTCACCTGGATTAAATATTGCACTTAAGGAGGAACAGGGGGCCACAAACTATTTGGCACTGCTGCGCCGAGGCGGAGTGAGTTTGCCGTCATGTATTTTCTAACCGGCTGGCCACGGAGGCTGCTTTGTCCGCTGAGGAGCGAAGAGGAGCCCTTCTACATCCAGCCCAGCTCCCAGCGCTTTTACTTCGCTCTGCTGTCAGAGACGCAGCTCAGCGTTTGGTTTAGTCGGGTGAGTTGAAACTCTGATCGGTCTTGAAATCAGCTGACAAAACCAAAACAAAAAAACGCTAGCTAAGATGTGATCTGGTGCCGTTTTCATTTCAAACGCATTGCAGCAGAGGGTGATAACCTGGCCGGCTGCCCTTCATGTTTTATTAAGTGCCGTAAATAAACACGGGGAGAAACTGTGGTGTCCCCATATGAGTCACTCAAACTACTACGTCTTCTTTCTTTTTTTAACCTTCATGTGTTGGCAGAGGGTTCCACGTACACAGATATCAGACGGCAGGTGAACTCGTTACACATCATTACACGTGGATGTGTCATTCATTACTTAAGTTAAAACAATAATTTGACAGCAAAACTCAACCACAGTGGATTGGTGTTCACCTGATACACGCTTTATAGCAGTTCAGTTTAAAGTTGCCCAAATGTTAGTAAATTGTATACTTTGGTAGGTGGACTGGTACTTATATAGTGCCTTTCTGCTCAGTTGAGCATTCAAAACACTTTCTTACTATAAGTGTTACACACATTCATACAGATGCCTACATAGCGGGGGTCAGTACCTTTGGAGGAGTCAGGGAGCAGTCCACTACCTTTAGATTGGTAGACCACCTACGCTACCACCTAAGCCAAGTACAGCTACCTCCACTCTACTCATCAGTTTTACCCAGCAACATACAGGTCAAAGGTTAAGTTACTGTCAACAAAACATTTGTAATAGTGTTCAAAACATGCCATGACATGTTTTGCTTACCAGTAGTTTTCAGGAATTTAGGCAGCGCAGTTACAAAATAAATGTCAACACTTATCTCAGCACAATAATCGCGGTGTTTATTTTGTATGTCATGGCCACAAATGCATCACATGACAGGAACATTTCGCAGTGACTTAAACCAATCAGTCAATGTTAATTCTGTCTATTTATAAACTTATTGGTGCAGTCCAATAAGTTTATAAAAGTGCCAACATGCTGTGCTGCAGCTGGTTTCTTAACAAAACACCAAACTCTGAGCACTGCAACATCTAAAACATCTGGCTTAATTGACTCCTGAACCTGCTGGTATAGAGCCAAGGGAGCAGTGACTTTGAGGTGCGTGGTAACAACATAAACAGGGCTGAACAGATAGTGATGCCAGTGATGTGACATTCAAAATGGAACTTGGAAGGACAGACTGTAGTGGTAGGTCAGTAGCTTGTCAAACACATGAATGCTTTATTGGCAATCTCTTCTTCCCAAGAAATGCAAATAAAAACATCAAGGACTTTCTTGATAAGTTGTTGAAACAAGGGTTAATTGAAGAAGTCTAACAGCATAAGAAAAAATATGTATATTTCTATATATATTTTGAGTCACTGCATGTGGGATTCAGGTGATGTTGGACATGGTGGCAGCTTCATATTAATTCCTGTTTTTCACACTTTTTTTTTTTTAAAGCTAAAATTTAAAAAAATGCAGAGAGTAGATGTGGTTTCTCTTTCACTGTTTCCAGGGAACTTCTCTACCCACTAAGCTCAGCTTTCAATACCATAGAAATGCGGAATGGGTCATGAATTGTTTGGTGTGCCTCCATTTTAGTACTTCTTCAGTATCTTTATCAACATCATACAGAGTATTTTGAATTCTTCTTTGTTGGCCTTGTTTATTTGGACGTTTTTGCCATGGTGACATGGAAAGGGAGCATATAATCGATTTTTATAACCTGCTCTTGTGTGCATTGTTTATAACGGTCTGTGATACATGCACACAGTCTGAATATTATTGAGTTGTGGCAACAATGGATCAGGGTTACAGTTAATTTCCAGAGACCTGCACAGGATGCGACCTTGTTTTGTTTCCCCTCTTTCTTAAGAGTTCTGAGTGCCTGCAAGTATCCGTGGGGCATCCAGGAAAAGGAATGTCGATTGGAGGAACTTCTTCCTCTTGACATGTGCTGGTCACCCCTACTAAGTCCATTGTGTCCTTCAACTTTTCTGTATAGCTTAGGGGTTATCAGATGGCTAACATTAGGCTACTGCAGGGCTACCAGAGGAAGAAATAATTTTGATTTTTAAACAAAATAAGGAAACAAAAGTTCACAAACTTTTATTTCCATACAATTTAACTTGGATCCTTTTTTGGTATTGTTAATGTTGTCAATATTGTGATTAGCAATGAGCAAGTTAGGGGTTTTTCCCAAGGAGAAGTCAGCATTTTCATAGAATCATTATTCAACCAAATAAATGGCACCAAAAATTTGGCTTAGTAGTTTTCAGTCTTGCCAGGTGACTGACAGAAAGTACCAAAAGTAAAGACTAACCTCACTGTGATGGTTTCCTTTCAAATCCAGTGTGTTGATGTAGAAAGACAAAAGTAAGCTATTGAGCTTCCAACATGTCAGTGTGCTACTTCTATTTAAGTAAGTTTTGCTTTTCCTAATGAGGAGATAGGTTTCTGTTTCCATCAGGTTCAGGTATCATTGGCATTATTAAATTTTAATTCTACGAAAGCGACACAATAGTTTAGGAATGGTTAAGCCCGTTGTCTCATTACAGTGAGTAGATACCAGCATTAAAGTTGCACAGCTGGAATTACATTACTGCTTTACCTCACCATAGCCAGTGTCCTGTTTTTACTGTAATAATGATCCTTGTTATATCTCACTGAAAACTGATTCAACAGCCTTACTTTAACACTCTGGGATGCCATACATACTTTTAAAATGTTTTCAATGATTGTGGTGCTAATTGTGTAAGTGGAAGGACAGGATTAACTGAATCAAGAGAGGTCACCAGAGTGAAGCCCACACATGAAAAAGCTTGATTACCACTTCAATTGGCAGTAAAATCAATTGGCAGTCATACTTTTGTAGCAAGTCTCAAGCTTCCATTATTGTTGATGCTCTGTACTGTTATTGTTGAATGTTGAATTATACTGTGCCAGATGCTTGATCTTAAGAAACCAAATCTTTTCACATTTTTTTCCCTCTTCAGCAGCTGTTTTAAAACTCAAAAATTTATTGGTTGGACATACAGGTTTTCTTTTTGAAGCTGTAGGCTAGTTCTTATTTTGCTGTAGAGAGAATAAGGTGAGGTAAACTAAGGGTGGTAGCCTCAAGCATACAGTTGTGGTTATAAGTATACATGCAGATATCATAGGGATGAATGTCATGTAAATCACACAGGGTTAAAGGTTTACTTACTGGCTCAAATATGTAAGTACATCCCCATTATGTTTGGTTAAACATTCCTTAGCAAGTTGGACTTCGACTAGCTGCTTTTGGTAGCCATCAACAAGCTTCTAGGATCTTTCTGGCTGGATATTTGACCACTCTTCTTGGCAGAATTTGCTAGAATTAATTTAATTTGATCATTTTCCAGGTACAAACCATGGCTTTTAATCATAGTTCACAAAAAAAAGTTTATAAGGTCAACGTTAAGGCTTTGGTAAGACCATTCCAAAAGTTTAATATTAGCCTTTTTTTATCTGTTCCAAAACCAATTTTGATGTGTGTTTGGGATCATTGTCTTCCTGGAACAATGGAACATCCAACTGTGTCCAAAGTTCGACCGTCTAACTCTTGAGTTAAAGTGAAGTTGAAGAATTTGGAGGTAGTCCTCCTTTGTTATTCCATCCACTTTGTGCAATCTGCCAAGGGCAGCAAAACAGCCCAAGAGCGTGATGCTACCACCACCATCTTTGATAGTTGGTACAGTGTCCTCAGGTTTGAAAGCTTCACCTTTACTCCTCCAACCATAACTGTTGTCATTGCAACCAAATAATTGTGTCTCATCTGAACATAAAACTTTCTTCAGAAGGCGTTTGGCTCCTGAAGGCAAATTTTAGTAGAGTTTGAAGGTGTCGATTTTGGATCAAGGGCTTCTTTCTTGGTCGTCCACATTGATGTAATCCTGCTTCACTATGGACAGTGATGCTGGTGTTCCAGCATTTTTCAGGTCATTGGGGTTAAACTGTCCCTTTGGAAAAGTGGTGACACATTCAAGTAACTTGGAATTGTGTACATTTTTTTTTGAAAGATGTATTTGTTTAGCAATGGCTCCTTGTGTCAACTTGTGTAAATGTTAGGTCATCACTGAGTTCCTTGGAATTCCCCATTGTTCTGAGTATTGGTCAGTCCAATGAGTGCTATCAAACAAATCATTTTTATGCTGCCAAAGAAAAACCACCAGTTGTAGTCATGATCACTAAAAGAATTTAATAGGCCTTGGTCTTGCCAATTTAAAAGATATTGTAGAACCTTGTGCACCCAGTTCTTGTTTTTTAAAGTCATTATAGATGTATGCTGTACAGTCATTCAGCCCTGGAAAAAGAACAGTTCATGAAAGTCATGAAAACCCACATAATTGCCATGACATCTATGCCCATGATGGCTGTATGAGAACTTCGCAACACACCTGTAGTTTATCCATTTTGCGTGATAGAAAGAGAAGCCTCAACATGCTTTTGTTTTCTCAGTAAAAATAGATTTTTCACAGTCCATGGGCCTCACTAGGTAGGAGATTTTTGGCATCACTGAGGTATTATAGTCATCCCATTTTTGGAAAAGAATTTGAAATCAAATCTGTATTTCTTCTTTGCCAAATACCCACCATTTGAGGCAATAAATCATTCCCGACAAATCCCCTTCCAGCACATTGGCTGACAAATATCTTTATAGATTATCTCTGTCAATCACAACCAACACTAGAAATAAAGCTGCTGTCATAATATCACACTGACATTGTTTACTGGGCTGCTGCCTGGGATTTATTTCATTTTTATTTTTTCGTAGATAGATGAGTTACTAGCTGTCACACAGCATGTTTTTTTTAAGCATTTTAAAAAATATTTCTATATTAATTACTTGATACAAGAGGTATGCTGTTTTCTTTTGTAGCTCCAGTGTTATTTGTTTAATATCAAATCAGATGATTTTGACCTCCAGAGCTCACTTTCTTTCCCATATTTCTGTTTCCCACCCACAGCCCAGTGTTTTGATAGTCAGCTATATCGAGTCTGCAAAGGCAGCGGCTCAGTTTGGCTTCTACCAGAAAGCAGAATGGAAACCAGACGACTCAATGATAGCTGTGGCGGTAAGTACACCATTTGGCAATGTCATATCATATTTGCAGTTTGACTGATCAGCTTACGTTCTCCCCCAAGCTCTGTTACTGCAAAACACTAAAGTTGATACCAACTACAGAAATGTAGTTTTGACTGAGTTTCCCTGGGACAAATTGTGTCGCATATTAGAGTAAACATCAACACATATTTTTGAGATATTTTTTTTCTTTTCAAGTGCTATCAAACAATCATATATCACAATTATGTCCTGGTTAAGCAGCCTTTTCTGGCATACACAAACATATGTCTTTGAGGGCTGACTGCTCACATAAGCACGATTGGTTCGCATGCAGTTAAGGCAAAGAGTCTGTGCTGCCTTCTTCAGAATCAGAATCAGAATCAGAAAGGGTTTATTGCCAGATGTTGAGCAGGTTTACAACATTAGGAAATTGCTGCGGTGCTTCAGTGCAACATACTGTCATAAAAATATAAAAATAAGAATAAGAATAAGAATTAAAGTGCTAAGTGGATAGATATATACATGATATATACATGAGTGCAGGTTGTGATCAGTGCCAAACATGGAATGATGCAGTGAACACAGCGTAGGGTCTTACAAGAACTCTGCCTGTTTCTTCTTCTTCCTTTTTTTTTTTTTTTTTTTTTTTTTTTAATAGGCCATTTGATTTTAGGTGTGAGGAAATTAAACCCAACCTTAAGAAACAAGTTAAAAGTCAGAATTGGTTGCAAGATCAAAACTTCTTCAGTGTGCAGAAAAAAACCCCAGTTAAAAAAAGGTCAAAAGCAAATTCATGTTGTGTAAGACAGCGGTCCCCAACCCTCTGGGCCACAGCCCGTGAGTCATTTGCTACCGGGCCGTGAGAGTTGAGCCTTGGGTGTGGAATTTAAGGTTTTCAGGAATTTAAGGTTTTTATCGTTTTTTGTTTTTTTTTGTCATTTTTGTTGTTAACTCTGTTTCCCTGGGCCTTTTCCCGTGTGTTATGAATAAACCTTATTTTTTTTCTTTTTTTCGGTACCAGTCTTGGTTTTATTTTGTTGTATTTGTCCATGACACCTTAAAGGCCGGTCCGTGAAAACATTGTCAGACAAAACTAGTGCATGGCGCAAAAAAGGTTGGGGACCGCTGGTGTTAGATATAACATGTTGCACCCAGGAGTGGGTGATACAGCTTCAGAAGTATATCACAATATTTAAAGGAAATGTGCAATACATTTTTTTGACTACATAGAAAAAATTTTTGTGAACAGTGTTTTTTTTGTTTGTTTTTTTTTTGTTTGTTTTTGTTTTGGATGCCCACAAGTAGCAGCATTTATGAGTGTAAATAAATGGGTGTTTTCCATCCTCCTTTTGCACTGAGCCACTTCCTACTTTGAAGAGCGAGTCGATTGAAAAAGGTGCCACCAGCAGCAGCAGGAGCGTTATGGTGCTCTAGTTGTGACACAACGTAAGTCAAAAGTTGACACAAACGTAGCCTCGTTATCTTTCCTTGAAATTTAAGGAAAAGTATAACATGACTGCGTATCATCTTAGTTTAAAAATAACTAATGCTGAAATGTATCTTCCTTCCTCTATTGGTATGTCTTCGATCGAGTTTTATAACTAGCTCCTTAAAGCCCTGCTTTTCCACTACGTAACCAAATCAATAATTTCCATCCACTGTTTGCTCTTCGTGTCATGGTGGGGGGATCATTTGTTTACTTTTTGGTTGCACGTCACCAGCTGCTAGCATCTCGTCATTTACAGCCTGATTGTGCTCAACTGTATGTTTTTTGCCTCAAGTGATGAAACACGTTAGTTGTTTCCATCTTTAGTGGGAGCAGTGCTTTGTTGGAGGTTATTGAAGTAGCTCCCTTTTTAGGTTACTAAAGTGTCATCAGAGGCTGACACACAGCTCTTGCTGTCAGACTTGCCTGGTTGGACACACTAGGGAACATACAGTACATGCGCGGTTGAAGTAAAAGTTTATGCTGGGATCGGTGTTTTACACGACTGTCTGAAATCGCTAATAACATCTTTATGTGTATTATGGTTAGTTTGTGCAACATTAATCACTTTTCTTACCAGTGAATCTCAATATTTGATAGACACAGATGATGACTGTTGGGATTTGTTACATATGGAGATTTACTTAGTGGTTCTAAGATGCTTGTGGATGTAGCACTTTTACAATAATATTAGTATGACTAATACAGTGTAATAATGTGTTTGATCAGTTGAAGTCTTTGTTGTGGAGTCTGACAGCAGTGGGGAGGAAAGACCTGCGAAATCTCTCCGTCTCCGTCCCACACCGTGGGTGCCGCAGCCTGCCACTGAAGGAGCTGCTCAGTGCTGTCAGAGTCTCCTGCATGGGGTGGGAGATGTTGTCCAACAGGGATGAAAGCTTAGCCACCATTCTCCTGTCACTCACAACCTTCACTGGGTCCAGAGGGCATCCTAGAACAGAGATGGCCCTGCGGATCAGCCTGTTCAGTCTCTTCCTATCCCCAGTAGAGATGTTGCCACCCCAGCAGACCACACCATAAAAGATGGCTGAGGCCACCACAGAGTCATAGAAGGTCTTCAGGAGTGGGCCCTCCACTCCAAAAGACCTCCGAAGCAGGTACAGCCTGCTCTGCCCTTTCCTGTAGAGGGCGTCTGAATTATGAGTCCAGTCCAGTTTGTTGTTCAGATGAACACCAAGGTACCTGTAGCTGTCCACAGCCTCAATGTCCATACCTTGGATGTTCAGTGGTTGCAGTGGAGTATGTTTGTGCCTGCGGAAGTCTACCACCAGCTCCTTGGTTTTACTGGTGTTGATCTGTAGGTAGTTCAGCTGGCACCAGTCCACAAAGTCTTGAGTCAGTCCTCTGTACTCCTTGTCGTCCCCATCAGTGATGAGGCCGACTATTGCAGAGTCATCAGAGAACTTCTGCAGAAAACACTGGGTGGAGTTGTGGGAGAAGTCTGCAGTGCAGATGGTGAAGAGGAACAGAGCCAGATCCGTTCCCTGTGGGGCCCCCCGTACTGCAGACGACTCTGTCCGACACACAGCCCTGAGTTCTCACATACTGTGGTCAGTCGGTGAGGTAGTCCAAAATTCAGGTAGTGAGGTGATGGTCCACTCCAGAGTTCTCCAACTTGTCCTTCAGGACCGTGGGAAGAATAGTGTTGAAGGCACTGGAGAAATCAAAGAACATGATTCTCACAGTGCTCCCAGCGGTCTCCAGGTGAGCGAGGGAACGATGTAGGAGGTGAATGACGGCAATAGCACTGAAACACAGTTGCTGAGCAGTCCACGTCATCAGACATCACTTTCAGTCACACATACTGCAGCGTTAACTATGGTGTGATATTACTGTGAAGTTTGCATGTTTAAGGTCTATAATATAACAGTAAATATAACATTAAGTCAAGAAAAATAACACTTTGTGGATAAAAATAAGGCAGAATCGCACAAGCGACATAAACCATATGGCCTCGCTATTCAATAATAGATATTTTAAAGATCATTTTGGGTACCTGTTGTGAGTATTTGTACATCAGTGTTCACAATTCTGGTGTTTTTGATTGAAAAACATGAACTCTTGACATACTGTCATGCCCACGTGTTTCAAAAAAGCAAGTTTGAAGCTAAACACGCTTTGACTTGTGTCAGGTCTACAACTTTCAAAAGGCCACAAGCAGCTCCGGGTTTAATGCTGCACGAACGGAATAGCCTGCAGCATTCAAAAAGTCTACTGCAGCTGTTTAAGTAAATAACGGCGAAACATCAACAATGACGCAAAGAATTGTAAAAGTGCCGACAGTTAGAGATAATTTAGACAAGATTAACTTGAGAGGGGCTCAGCGTGCTGAAAAGCACAGGGAATGTCGAAGGGGGACTAGTTGTGGAAGAACAGAAAGGATTTTACAGTGACGCAACAATGTCTGTGCTGTGGTTACACTTTGCTCCTAATCTACAGTGTCATACTTTATCCTTTGCTGAACACTGATTAAGTATGCAGTTGGCTTGAAGTGAAGCAAATTGTTCTCTGCCAAAGTGGAACTGTAATGCCCTGCCAAACCAGCCTGGCCTCATTGTAAAAAAATAAAAATAAAAATTAAATGGTCACAAAAAATATCGATTTATTTGACTCTTTTTATGGACATCAGGGACAACTTTATAACTAACGTACAGTGGGGCAAAAAAGTATTTAGTCAGCCACCGATTGTGCAAGTTCCCCCACCTAAAATGATGACAGAGGTCAGTAATTTGCACCAGAGGTACACTTCAACTGTGAGAGACAGAATGTGAAAAAAAAATCCATGAATCCACATGGTAGGATTTGTAAAGAATTTATTCGTAAATCAGGGTTGAAAATAAGTATTTGGTCAATAACAAAAATACAACTCAATACTTTGTAACATAACCTTTGTTGGCAATAACAGAGGTCAAACGTTTACTATAGGTCTTTACCAGGTTTGCACACACAGTAGCTGGTATTTTGGCCCATTCCTCCATGCAGATCTTCTCGAGAGCAGTGATGTTTTGGGGCTGTCGCCGAGCAACACGGACTTTCAACTCCCGCCACAGATTTTCTATGAGGTTGAGGTCTGGAGACTGGCTAGGCCACTCCAGGACTTTCAAATGCTTCTTACGGAGCCACTCCTTTGTTGCGGTGTGTTTTGGATCATTGTCATGTTGGAAGACCCAGCCTCGTTTCATCTTCAAAGTTCTCACTGATGGAAGGAGGTTTTGGCTCAAAATCTCACGATACATGGCCCCATTCATTCTGTCCTTAACACGGATCAGTCGTCCTGTCCCCTTGGCAGAAAAACAGCCCCATAGCATGATGTTTCCACCCCCATGCTTCACAGTAGGTATGGTGTTCTTGGGATGCAACTCAGTATTCGTCTTCCTCCAAACACGACGAGTTGAGTTTATACCAAAAAGTTCTACTTTGGTTTCATCTGACCACATGACATTCTCCCAATCCTCTGCTGTATCATCCATGTGCTCTGTGGCAAACTTCAGAGGGCCTGGACATGC